GCGCCACCATGTTTATGAGTAACTGTCACACGTGATGAAATGCCACTGGATCACCCGCGAGCTACATGCATGTGTTTCGCAAGAAACAAACGCATCAAGGCGTTTTTGTTATTTTTCAGCCGTAGCTGCCATGTCAGAATAATGTACGTTTTTAATATTTTATTCAACTGTTCTTTGTGTAAAACTATGATTAACATGACTAGATAATGATTAAATTATAAGCAAACAAAATAATTTGTAGACAAATGAGTCTGATGACTATTTATATATTCTGCTATTTATGAAAAGATTATCTCTACTGGAAAATGTCAATAAAATGTTTATGGTCGGTCGGTCGGTCGGAAACCTGAAACCAACTATTATTTTTATTTGGCCTAACCTAAACCCTAACCTAACCCTGACTTATTTTAAAAATTGATATAAAAACGGAATCCTTATTTTGAAATTGTATCAATAAGTACCGCAAAAAATTCAATTCTCTTGTTAAAATTGCAAGAAAGAAATATTGTCATGATAAACTTGCTGCTGCCAATTATAACTTAAAGAAAACCTGGTGTGTTATCAAGCAAGTTATAATTATCTTAAAAAAGAAACCCGAACAACAATTTAAGACAATGAAAGGCGTCTCTAATGATATTTACTCAGATCCTATAAAGATTACTACAAAATTTTCTAATATTGTACCTACCATGGCTAATGCTGTATTCCTTCTACTCACTCCTCTCACACACAGTTTTTAACAGTAGGTTCCTATAATAACAATTTTTTCTTTCCCCAACTAGTCCTTCAGAAATTGCCTTAATTATGCTTTCTCTTAATAATACCAAAACTGAAGGTTATGATGGTTTATGCATTTCACCAATTATTGCTGCCGAGCCTCAGCTCGGCAGCACACTATTCTTAACGTTACATGACGTTCTTGCTTTCTCGTGTCCAGTCCCCGCGGCCGAGTTATGTATAGTCGAATAGCGATTTTCACTCGGTGGAGATTTCGGCATTCCAGGGGGCTCATTAAGTATTCAAGTTGGTTTGTAAAATGAGGGGGTTGTTCAACAAAATTTTCTTCAATGATGCGAGCAGGCCACTCAAATACTGACTCGTCCCCAGTCGCTTCAGTAACGCGCGCGTTGAATTACCCAACGCGCGCTGATTGATGGGAATGTGACGGCGAGGGAAGCGACTGGGAAATCCTAATTCAAGATGGCGGACGTTATAATGGCGGACGCTGTTATCGAAGAGCGAGAAAGGGACGAAATATTTTCAAGGCCGTTTCACGAGGCGTATCTGACGAATAAAGTTGTTTGTCTGATGGCTGAATGCCTGGAAAACTTTCGTTTTTTTAAAGAAAGTGGACTTGCGCATCATTTCCGCACTGTTCACAACCGACAGATGGTGCCGCAAGATACGAAGAATTCAGCTTTGGCCATGAAACGTATGTTTGGCGAAGAAACTTTAAGATTTATTAAATATATCTCTTTTTAAATTGACCACTCTCTTCTGTAGAGGCTTTGTGTTTTGTTTTGGGTTTTTTCAAGTCCCACGCTCAGCTGCCTCTCAACTATTCTGCCTGCAAACTTCGAAAAACCCCAAATTAAAACACAAAGCCTCAACAGAAGAAAGTGTAAATCGACCGTAATCCATAATTCTTTGCAAGAAGAAAACATATCTTAAGAAAATATTTGAAAAGACATAGCATCAAGGCCATAAAATTTGTAAGATATAATCACAGCTTTTATCGATGTTATGCACCTGTTGCACCAGTCAAAGTAAACCCCGACCCCCCCCCCCACCCCGGGATATAGGTGGGGATTGGCTTTGAATACCGTACCAAAACAGACAAATGCCCCACAATATGGGACAAAATTTTCTAGCCAAAAACAAAAAATGCCCCACCCCCTGGGGGATAATTGTAAGTCGTGTGCGTGAATTTATCTCCTGCAAAATATCTCCGGGCTGCGCGCCGCATAAACCGTCCACATTTTAAAATATTAATATTTTGTTCCATTTGAAACTCAAAAGAACGATAAAAACGTAATAATAATATAAACAAACAAATGTCGAGCTTTCCACAACAATAGATTTCATGGATGGATGGACATATTATTAAACCGGTATTAACATATAGATTGAAAAGAAATTAAATTAATAATATATTTATAAAATTCTTCTCGATTTCATTTCCTTACGAGCACGCCATTTTGTCCTTTGCAAATCACATGGTATAAAATGGTAGAACCTGGGGATTCCATTGGACAAAACGGTACAAAATAGTACAAAATGGCCGCAGACAATCCCCTAACAATCCCCATTATCTTCCCGGCAGAATGACAAAACCAACAAATTCCTGACATGGTTGGGACAGAATTCGATGACAAAAAGCCACTAAATCCCCACCAAGTCCCCTCTTTGCCCAGGGCGGGGGGGGGTCTACTTTGACTGGTGCATTAATAAAATAAACTGTTCTTACAGTTCATATAATCAATTCAGGGTCACAAAGCATTATGGTAAAATTGACACCTGCCATCATTTTTATTATGGTGAATTTCAAACATACAGTTCAACTGGTCTATTTCAATTTTATTGTACTTTATCTAAGGAATATTAAAGCCTACACTACTGTATATATCACATATTTTGTAAATACTTTCAACATTGTTATGTTGCTATTTGGACACTGTAGAGTGTACACTGCTGAAACAATGTACCATATAACATATTTTAAAAATAATTTCAAATATTGTATTGCTATTTTTGCACAGCCACTGTGGACATCAGCTTCAGATGACAGGGGTAAATGAAATTAATCTTAATATGTGTATCTACCTATCTATCTATTTTTAGTATCACCAAATTAATAAATTCAATTGAGTGACAAAAATATCCATTCTATTAACAAATGCATGATGTCTGCTTTTGCTGTTGGATATTTCAATTATTTGTTCTTTCAACGGTTCGAAAGTACATACAGTGTCAGTGAGGATTTATACTATTCAATATTTGAGATAAAACAGTAACACTGTTATCACTCGAGTCAAATTATATCCATTATTTCAGAATTATTTCATAGATGTTTTATGTAAACATAATTATGGACTTGATATTTTTTTTGTGTGTGTGTTTTGATGCTACATATGTACTCAGGTGAAAATAATTTAATGTTTCTTGATCTGCTCTGAAAACACATTGGTATTGAAGGTACTAGACTTAGTTTTGAAATACCAAACACTTGAACGGACTTGGCCTCGTAGCTCAGTTGGCAGAACATTGGACAAGGTAGTTGTCCCACCGCATGACCATGCAAACTTTTCAGCCTGTCCGGTGAGGATATCCACTCAGAGTAAAAAAAAATAATAATTATGGAGAGTCCATACATAGTCATAGCAGATTAATTCAAGTTAAATTACATGTACATGCTCTATTTAACCACGGATAATAAAATAAATTTATTTTATTATCCATGATTTACCACAAAACAACCCTTCACAACTGTAAAAAATTATTGCTACATTGAAATACGAGTGGGATGTGTGTACAGTAAAGGTTTTGTCTTTTAATCTGATTCACTTCCAATATTTTCATCATCAGACTCATTAACATCTAATTCATTCATTATTCCATACACTATTTTCGGTTGAAAGTGGCCAGAACTTTCCTTTTCCAACTTGCATAAGAATCAACATTGTTAGTGGAAATTGATGCCTTTTTGGGATCACCAAACTTTTCTACTGTTTTCCTACCTGAAACATATTAAAAGAACCTCCTTAAAATAAAATGTGCTGCCTTGAGTTGATGAGGGAACGGATCATACGATGGGGGTAGGGGGGTTAGCTTCCTATTTCCTCTGGGAGTGGTATGGATGTTTTCTGGAGTGACCCATTACAAAAATCAATGACGTGAGAAAGAATGCTTCAGTATGCTTGTCTGGCATTAATTAGACACAAGTAAAATTCTGAATTAGGGTGCATCAGAGTGCATTTCACATACTGTATGCAGTCAGAGGCCTATTCGTGGCTGGGGGGGGGGGGGCTTGGGAGAATTTATTATAATTATATACACAGGGACGCCGGAACAATGTGAAGGCAAGGGGGCAGATTTTTGTTAAAGGGCACTTTTGAATTGATATATACTGAGAGATGTTTGCAAAACATCGGGAGTTGAACTTCGCCTAATCATGTTTTCTATTTATTGGATGATAGGGGTGTGAGGGGGTTCTCCACCAGGCGATTGTGCTATCCTTGAAGCCCGATGACTGCATTTCTTGCGTTTTCTGAAGCAAATTCGTAAAAGAATCGCACTAAAATTTTTGACAATTCGCTATTTCGCCAAGGCAATTCTTTAAATTGAAGGGCACCTTTGCCCCCTCCTGGTAAAGGGCAACGGGGGCGGCTGCCCCTCCTGCTCCCCCATTTCCGGCGTCCCTGTATATACATTAGATTTATCAGATATATAATAGAATATACTCATACTATTTGATTCAATCTCATCATGTTTAATGTCAGAAAATTGATGAGCAATACACTTTTCCTGTAGGTTAATAAAAAAACACTCTGTTAATTTATCAGTGAAGGAAAAACGTTTTAAATGATTATATATCTACAATTATTGTTACAGAAATTGGAACCAATGGTTCTAAAAGGATTGAATCAATGGTTCTAAACAGATTCAATGGAAAATTTATTTCTGACCGTAATTTTTAATAGAATTACACCAACCATTCTAGATATGAAATATTTGAGAATTTGTTTCTCTTCATATAACTGGCAGGACAAAGTTTAACAAACAAAGTTGTAGTAATATTGCAAGCAAATTAAAACATTTAGCAGTTTAAAACACTGGCTCTTACAGTACTACAGGTATCTGTTGACATTAGAAAGGAACCTAGTGGCCAGCTAGGTGTTACTAATAATATATGTAATGTTATTGATATTCAAAAGCCTGATAGTTTATTGTAATACTGGGATATATACAATATAATTGGTTTAATTGTATAATATAGATTTATAAAAAGGATACTGATTTTTGTTATCTTTTCTATACCTCTTGATGTAGACTCCAAGGAAAGCCTCTTTACTGCTCGAGTTTATACGCGTGATTTTATGACAGTATCGTCGCCCAGATATGCCAGAACCGTATCATTAGGTGTTTGACTGTTGTCGTGCAATTCAAAACCATCTTTTAAAACAATGTAGTGGCCTTTCTTTGATCCAATCGTTGTTTCCCTGATAGGGATTTTCCTGAACAATTGAATTATTATAAGCTATTTAATAAATTATAAATCCAATGAAATCTCGCACGCGATAAAGTTTGTTCAAAGAGATATATAATTTTGAATATATGAAACTATTTTTAAAACTTACCAACACAAACTCTCTTCAACGGTGGCAAATATGGAGTTTGCTTTGTTGATGGAGCCGTGAATGTGTGCTTTCCTTGCGCGGGGCTTTTCACGTTGCCTTCTTCTTGTATAGGAGTGCTTGTTCTCCGTTTATCATTATCTGATGTATTTCTTGTATAGGAGTGCTTGTTCTCCGTTTATCATTATCTGATGTGATGAAAAATGACAATATTAAAAGCGGTTTATGCAAATATTGCGATATTTCCAACAGAAATTATATGCCCTGCACACATGGCTTGTATCAATTTGTCAACACTTACCATAATCCTCGTCATTCAGCGATAGATTATGCATAGACGTCTCCAAATCTTCCTCTGAACCCGACCAGATGCTTTCTAAGTCTTGCAAAGGCAAGCTCTCGTCCAAATCTTCGCTCATTATCAAAATTTATGCATTTGCCGAGAAATGGACAGATTTGCCAAGAAACAGACACAATATTTCACAGTCCCTAACAAAACGCCTCGGGGCATTCCCATGGTCCTTTGCGTTAGAAGCAGTGTTAGGGACTGTGGAAGAGTCAGACTCAAATATGTGTCTTTTAAGTGTTTCACCCAAAATTTTCAGTACATAAAGTAGTAATATCTGTATGCTTAGTTCATATACTTAGTGTTTATTTATCGATGTGATGAACCGGTTTAATAAAGTTGCGAATATCGAGGGTAACAGCCTGGGTTCATGCTACCAGCTACCTACTTTATGGCTACCTACTACAAATCGCTGGCTATACTATGTATATGAAACAGTTTAAGAATTTATGAACTATTGTTTGTTCAAAGTCGAGTAATGTATTGTCATTAATTATAATTTTATTTTGACATTAGTCAAATGTCCACAATGGCACAATATGTCTTACAGTATTAAAATTCGCGCAGTACTAGAATTCGCGCAGCGCTGGATGAGCAAATTTTAGCACTGCGCGAAATATAATCCGCGCGAAAAACGTTGTGGTAGTAAAGATAAAGCGTGCGTTTAAAATAACAAGAACTAAAACACTTATTGCATGGTTCTCATTTGCCTAATATTAATACAATAACAGTACGACGCAAATTTTAACAAGTAAGGTATGGTATCATAATTCATTATATATAAACGAACAATGCAAACTAGCCATACATTTCGCCGAACATAACTTCGGCCACTTTGGACATATCTTTTTCGTAATAGTCTCATTCGAACCAGAATCCAAAACACTATTCACAGTGTTATTTTCAAGCTTGTGTCTTCAGATTTTCATCTTTTATTTCGGTATTTACAGAATATTTATATTTTTAGCGCGGCCCGTGAAACGTATGGCGTCAGATTTCCGCCAATATTCATGTTGATATTAATTCAACATGTTTCCGTATTGAAGTGAATTTCGACATTGAACATATCAAATTCAGCATGCCACTTTAATTCAACATTGCTTCAATTTCAACATGTTTCCCTCATTGATGTTAATTTGAATATTGAACGTGTCAAATTTAAGTGAAATACAACATTGAAGTATAGATATTGAAGTGATTTTCAATGTTGAAGTTTCAAAACAGGTTGAAAACGCATCACTACATGAATTTGAGCATGGCCAGAAATGACGGACATTGTGCAAGCGTACCAGTCGGTCAGCAGCTTTTCCGTTTATCCACAAGAATTCCTAATTATCCTTTTACGCCCTGTTAAAGCATCCGGAATTTCAAATATTTGCGTGGCTGTTGTTTATAAAGCAAAGCATGAAGTATGCACTCAAGTTGTGGCCTTTAGTTTACCAAGCGCAGGGTGTAGCTAAGCAATGACTACGGGAATGAAAAGAGAAGCTTTAGACTAGTATTTTGGTACGAAACATGTAGCAAGGCAATCAATATTTCGAGTTTAGGAAGCGAACGGAATATCACTTTTCTACCGCGAATGATATGGAATATTAATGCCCGGCTTGCGAACTTCAAAACAAAAAAGCAGAGCTTTTATCGAGTGTAACAAAATAATAAACGGCGGAAGGCAAGGCTATACTATTCGTCAAAATAAAATGATTTCAACAAATTTCGATAATTGAATATATTACGAGATATAGCCGTTTGAGCGAGAAACCTTTGTAGATTCCTATGTAAAGTGAGGTAAAATGTTTTAACATTCAATCGCAAAAAGCAGAGCGACTATACAAAGTAATGAGAACATTTTTGTTTAATGTGTTACTATACGACCGCTACTTCTGGAACCAATTTCAACAAATATTTCAAGATTTATATATAGCATGTTATATTGAAAATACTCCACTCGCCTGATAATAAACATAGGGAATTGCGCAGCCATTGTTGCGTGGGTGCGCGTGGTAACGTGAAACCTGAGAAATGCAAATGTCCGTGATTTCTGGCCATGAAGTGGATATTGGTGGTTATATACCGTAGCACCGCGTTAAATATCCGCCAATATTAATTAGCACTTCGTTAAACTCCCCCCCCCCTGGCATATTCCTATATGGCGGCTACGAACGAGCGGAATCAGTGATGAAAATCATGGTGCACTATGGTGGATATAAAACTGAACATTATTGAGGATATAATATCACGATTAGACAGCTAGCCTTGGTGACCCAGATTGTGTAGAGGGATTGGCAATACGATTTGACGTTTTAAAGAGATATCTTGTAAATATTAGAATCGACGACATCTGCATGCACTTTGGAATTGCTGGATAGGGTTGGCAAAAATTTAAACCAATTTGAGCAGCGGCAGCGCTATTCGACCATGAATAACTCTGCATTTCCAGCACAAGTTTATGCCTTGGAAAACGTTCGTAAGTCCTTCGTATGATATACACGAGGGGCAATTGAATTTTTTATAGCGAAGTAAGCAGTATGATGGGTGTACGCAAAATAACTTTGGAGCGGCGAATGAGGTCATTTGGCACGAGTGTGTCAGGTAAGAAAGTTATGGCTTATGCACATCCTATACACGGCCAACACAGTGGTTATGCAGCACTGTATATGTTGAAACCCAAGTCGACAAACCTATAGGGAAACTGATATAAATGTAATGCCGTACATGTACATGAAACCACAACTTTAGTCTTGTGTGGGAATTGGTGAGTGAAAAAATCTAGACACTGACCTCTGAATTAGCGAAGACTGATCAGGTCATTTGCTGTTTGCCGACCTTAAACGAAAACAGGACTGGAAAGTTCAGTTTTCAATAAAATTCAAGTTTTCATGAATTAATCCAAAATGCCAAGTTCCTGGAGTGGACTGACTGCCACCAACCGCCCTCATGCCACTAACATGGGCTAGCTTTAAGGCTTTTTGTGTCTTCTCAGCAGTGCATTACTAAGCTAACCTTTTTCTTCAAACGGTAAAAAATGAAGTGCAGATAAAAGATGTAAATACCTGGTATTCTCGTTCTCATTCTATGCTGTAGTTCTGTATAAAACTTAATGTGCAGTCGATCATATTAAATCCTGATGATAAGACCTATATATACAGTACTCGTGTTGCATATATAATTACTGTGTCGGCCGTGTAGGATGTGCATAACTTTGTTACCTGGCACACTCCTGCCTAAATGACCTCATTCGCCGCTCCAAAGTTACTTTGCGTACACCCATCATACTGTTTACTTCGCTATAAAAAACTTTTAATTGCTCCTCGTGTATATCATACGAAGGACCTACGAAGGTTTTCCACGGCATAAACTTGTGCTGGAAATGCAGAGTTATTCAGAGTTATTCATGGTGGAATAGCGCTGCCGCTGCTCAAATTGGTTTAAATTTTTGCCAACCCTATCCAGAAATTCCAAAGTGCATGCAGATGTCGTCGATTCTAATATTTACAAGATATCTCTTTAAAACGTCAAATCGTATTGCCAATCCCTCTACACAATCTGGGTCACCAAGGCTAGCTATCTAATCGTGATATTATATCCTCAATAATGTTCAGTGCATCATGATTTTCATCACTGATTCCGCTCGGCGTTCGTAGCCGCCATATAGGAATATGCCAGGGGGAGAAGTTTAACGAAGTGCTAATTAATATTGGCGGATATTTAACGCGGTGCTATATAACCGCCAATATTCACTTCTCAAATTCATGTAGTGATGCGTTTTCAACATGTTTTGAAACTTCAACATTGAAAATTACTTCAATATCTATACTTCAATGTTGTATTTCACTTAAATTTGACACGTTCAATATTCAAATTAACATCACTGAGGGAAACATCAGGGGCGGATCCAGGGGGTGGCAAGCGTGGCTTGAGCCTCGGTCAGATTTTTGACTAAATTGTCATATTATCTAACTTGGTCTATATAAGGACGAAGCGATCGTTTATATTTATACACATAAACGCGTCCCAAACCTTTTAAATTTAAATTAAACAAATACATACTCGCATCGTTATATCTTACTGTTATTTGATTTTCAACAAAATCGCGAAATAAAAACGTAAATATCTCAAAAGATGTGATTCCTGAACTGTAAAAGGTTCAAAACCTCAGGAAAACCCCTCAAAAACGCCTGTCGAGGAGGTAGGGAAAACCCCTCATTTGCTGAAGTTGAATGTTTGCTACGACGATAACCGAGAACTACTCGAAGTTCATCATTCTTAGTTCGGGAAATGTTCGTAAAATGCGACTGCGATTTTGAGCCACGGTCCGCGGTTCGGATGTTACTAAATATAGTAACTTCTTGCCACTTTGAGCCACGGTGGAGCGTGTCAAGCCAATCACAGGCCGAGATTTTATCATGTGAGCCACGGTGAGCCACGGTGGCCATGTTTTTGTTGCGCAATATTATGAAAATTATGAGGGGTTATCACTATCAAAAATAACTCTTGATCGTGTGGGAAGTTGATTGGGCCGTAAATCAAATTCAGTCGTAAAGTTTCATTGCCCGTAACGTACGTCTTTACATCGTAATTCAAAATGTTTCGTAATTTAACGTGATACTTCGGGTCGTAAATAACGTGATACTTCGGGTCGTAATTTAACGTGATACTTCGGGTCGTAAATAACGTGATACTTCGGGTCGTAATTTAACGTGATACTTCGGGTCGTAAATAACGTGATACTTCGGGTCGTAATTTAACGTGATACTTCGGGTCGTAATTTAACGTGATACTTCGGGTCGTAATTTAACGTGATACTTCGGGTCGTAATTTAACGTGATACTTCGGGTCGTAATTTAACGTGATACTTCGGGTCGTAATTAACGTGATACTTCGGTTCGTAATTAACGTGATCAGGGCCGTCCTCAGGAAATTCTTCAGGGGGGTGTAATAAGGTCAATTCAACCACTTGAACCTGGTTCCCCCCCCCGTCGCCAAAAAAATTTCGGTCAGTGTACCATTTTAGGGGTCCAAAAAATTTTTCGGACGTACAAAAATTTTCCGGAACATTCAATAATTTTCCGCACATCACAAGTTTTCAACATTTTTTTACATTTTTCCAAAATTTTTACATTTTTCCTAAATATTTTCCTAAAATTCCCACCACGTTATTGCCCTTTGCGCC